TTTAAATGACTCCCTATTTGATCCTAAATATACTCACTCTACCAAAAAAGAGTTTATTCTTACTTCTGTTTTAGTAATGACTGATGATGAGTCCCCTTCCATCAGGCTACCCTTAATGCACCAACTTCAGACTGCCACTTCCAAATCAAACCCGTACCCACCCCATCTTTAGTTTAATTGGCTGATTCTACTTAAGTCTTAGGATCCTCTTTAAAGTCTTCACTGCAGGTTAAAACAATAAACAATGTCCTCTTGATTTGTTTCACAAGTGTGGGCATTTTATGAAATATTTATTTACCACAACTATAAAGGGCAGTTTTTAAAGTTTTCTGGAACCTTCATAAAGAATGCATTAAAGATAGCTTATAGTCCATATTAATATGATAGAATGCTCTTTGAAATACATAAAAGCTATCATAGAAAACATTCTGTTTCCCTGATAATACCCAGTAGAGTAAGCACCATTAATTATATTTCTGATTTTTGTCTTACTCTATGAATATTTTTAGGTAAAATAAAAACAAAAACAAACAAAAAATGCTAGTTTCTGCCTTTTCACAAGAAGTTATATATAAGAAGGCAATTTCCGGGGTGCCAGTCTACTAAGCGTCTGACCCTTGGTTTCAGCTCAGGTTTTGATCTCAGGGTCATGGGAATCGAGCCTCGTTTCAGGCTTACTGCCAAAATAGTGTTCTAGGAAAATTATAGAACTTGACCCTAAAACTTTGTGATTTTTTTGTCCTCATATTTGTAACTTCCAACCTAATTTTATTAAGTACTATTTTATTAATTAAAATGAAACCAATATGGTATTCTAAAACTGAGATCAATATAAAATGAAGAACTAAAAAGCATTAACAGTGTTCAAACATTTATCTTTATTTCCTATTTCTTGATTTCATTCACTAATAAATTCTTCTAAAGAAGATGTATCCTCCTGCCCTGTGCAGTGAGATATGCCGAATCATTTTATTTAAACAGTGATAGCTTTCATTGATATGCTTCTTGGAAAACGACCTGGAGAGGGGAAATAGGTTCTAATTTATACTCTAGACAGCTTATTGTAGCTTAGGCTGAAATACAAAACTAATGTGGATCAAGCACAACTGAAATCCAGCATGCACTGTAATATGGTCCTTGTTGAGTCCAAGAGATTTATTTAATTAAACGCTTAGGGAGAAATAATGCTGGTCTTGGTAATTCGGTATTTGGATAAATTTATGTTTTTAAGATATGTTAGAAGTGTACACTAAACTTAATTTCCTATTGAACTTTATTATGTATCTGCAAGATACCACACAGTTGTTTAACCAAACTCTTCTTGCTATTCCATGGAGAAGCTTTTCCCATTGAAAACCACAAACTTAGGTGAATGACTAAGTCTAATGGAGACAATAGGGTTATCTTAAAATGATATGTAGGATTTTTTCCTCCTCCTTCTGCATTCTCATAGGACCATGTTTACATACTCTCTTTTATACAGGCACATTAATAAATGTGCAAAATGATAAAAGATGGGTCATATTGGTGAGGACTTACACTTTTTGGTTTGAAGAATGCAGCAAAATATTACATAAAGTAAATAGATACATTTCTAACATTTAGCAGAAAATTAAAAGCTGTAAGCACCCTCAGGCTCGCAATTAAATTTTTGCAGCATATGAAAACAACAGTTTGAACATTCTAGTACTTGATTTTCATTTTTGATTATGTACAATTGCCAAAATACCTCGAGTGATGACAGGCTTCTCATTTCAAATAGTTCTAAGTACCATTAAATATTTTGTAAAATACTTTTTAGGTCCCTAATTGGGTTCAATTTATATTATTATTCTACTCTTAGGAATAAAGGGTAAGTATTATCTGTTTGTTGCCCAAGAGTAGAATTAGTTCCCAGAAATAAAATCTTGGTTAAATTTTACTATACACTACTTCAAACACAAATTACCCCCCACAGATTAAGACTTGGCTCTGTATATAAGAACATTTCCTGTTTGAAATTTTGGTAAGACACAACATATGGAAAAAATAGGGCTCTTGGAAGAGCTTGGTAAAATAATTTAGAAAATGAAATGGTGTAAAATGCTATAACCACAGAATGTAAGTAATGTTTCCTCCAATAACCATTAAAGATCCACTTACAATCAGACTTTCTTTAGCACTCTTGTTACTCTTTTATAACTTTACAAAAGAAATAGTTTTCTGCACTAAAGCTGACCATATTTACTTACACCTCGTGCCTTGCTTTGAAAAAGTCTAAGGAAAACTTGCACAAATACTAGTTTATTTAAAGTTGAAATACATATACTTATTCTATCTAAGAGAAGCTTAATGGTTGAAACATTTCATTTCTCAGAAATTTAGTGGAAATATTTCCTGTGTGTGCAATGAAGCCATTAATAAAATATTAGTAAATGGAAAAATTATACTTGTTTAAAATCCATTAAGTGTTTTACAGCTCTATACAATCATATAAACATTTAAGACATGTTCTAACAAGCAAATAGTCAAATAAAATATGTGTTTTGGATCAAAAAAGTTCCATTAATTTTTATTATTTCTCTTCTTTTTTTATATATCATGCACAAAATAGAGGAAAAAATTGGGAGCAGAAATTATGGACCCATATTTTTATATATGAAATTATTTTTATAAAAATATTCATATGGGGGCACCAGGTGGCTTAATCAGTTAAGCACCTGACTCTTGATTTCGGCTCAGGTCATGGTCTCAGGGTTGTGAATCTGGCTTAGCGCTAGGTGTGGAACCTGCTTAAGATTTTCTCTCTCTCTCCCTCTGCCCCTCCTCCCTGAGCTCTCTCTCTCTTTAAAAAAAAAAAAAAGTATTCATATGGGTGACCCAGAATTTAAGCTATTATTCTTACTCTAGAATGGATAAACATAGACTCAAAGACCCATTTGTTTTTGTCCTCCATCATCAGGTAACTTCTACATTCCAGGGAAGAAAATGTTCTCATACTTATTTCTATCTTCCATTCTATCTTTCAATAAATTAACTGAAATTCAGATTCTTGGCAGTACTGACCAGAGATAGAATATATGAATTTAAAGTCAGATAAGAGTTTGACAAGCTCTTCCATTTGCCCACCAGTGTATTAACCCCCAGTGTCCACACCCATAGAATGGGAATCAGAATAATGCCTGCCGTTTGAGGTATTCCTGTAAAATACAGGATCTGGCACATAGTAAATTTTTAGTACATTTTGTTACTTTACTACATGAAGAAAGATAACTTTTAAATATAATAATAGAAGCTACTCTTATTGAACGCTTATTATTACTCCAGGAATCATGTGAGTACTTTACATGCATTGCCCAATTTTACCCCTACAATATTGTGAACCCATTTCACAAACAAGACAATTAAAAAAGAGCATTCTCTGGTCCCAAGCATTGCAAAGATCCTATCATGCTGTAGTTCTTTTGAAATACACCTGGTTTAAAGAAGAGATTAACATAAAAGGACATTTATCTACATGAAAAATCATAATTGAGTGGAATTTGCCTCCATTATGGCAGATATTACCACACTAGACATATTTTTTTTCCTAATATTACCTTGAAATAAGATACTACTAGACAGAATTATATAAATCAGGAAACTTACTACCTTTTCAAAGGTCTGTTTCACTGTTTATTTTAACAAATTTGGTTTTGCTTTTTGGTCTACTTCTGACTAATATGCATAATTAGTTTGATTTCCTTCTGTAGTTTGATTTCATAGATAAATTTAGGGTATACTTCTTTTAATTTCACTCTCTGGTATTAAAAACAGTCTTCAAATGCCCGGCAATAAATATTAAAAGCTCAAAAATAAATATGTGAAGCATGTATAAACATATAAAATCTAACCAATGCCAAACCTTGAGTTCTGTTTTAATATGAATTCAATCTCATATGTGTGTGAGAGTATGTATGTGTGTATTAGGCATGAAGTTTTGTTTGACTTGAAAAGTATATGAAAAAAGTAAATATTAAATATTTGCCCTCATCATCCTGTATATGGAACATATGCTAATATATTAATTCTCAAGTGTCTCTCCCAAAGAAAATATTTGAAAAAATGGTGCAATTCACAGGACTTCTTGAAAATGAGAAATCATTATAGTTAGTGAGTGAATTAGGATTATAACCCAGGAGTGGAGGGCAGCAGCCAGATTCAAAACAAAAGTTGCACAATCTTCGGGCGCCTGGGTGGCTCAGATGGTTAAGCATCTGCCTTCGGCTCAGGTCATGATCTCAGGGTCCTGGGATCGAGTCCCGCATCGGGTTCCCTGCTCAGTGCAGAGCCTGCTTCTCCCTATCCCTCTGCCACTCCCTCTGCTTGTGCTCTTCTGTCTATCTCTCTGTCAAATAAATAAATAAAATCTTAAAAAAAAAAAAAGTTGCACAATCTTCAACCTGCTTAATTTATGAACAGAGTTCAAAGTATTGACAGAGTCTCCAAACTTCAGGGCTCAACATTAAGAGAAAGTCTGACTTTCAGTATTAATAGCAACCAGAAAGAAAATTTTTAAATGTAGTCAATAAATAAAAACTTAATAAATAAAATGCAGACCAAAGTTTGACAATATTGATAATATTATATAATCAGACGTGGCTACTGTTAAAAGTCTTTGTTTAAAAGAGGATAACTGAAGTTTGGTGCTATTTTTATTACATTAGTGTCATTACAGAAAAACATTTTTAACAAAATAAGTATAAATTTAAAAAATTTTCTAAAATATTTCCTGAAAATATGTTTTTCATTCCTGAAAAACAAATCAGATAACAGATTATATAAAAACATTATTCTCGTAAACTTTAAATTCTCAGGACTTTATAATTAAGATGAATGTATATCCCTTTAGCCTCATATATATATGTATATATATAGTTTCATACATATATAGCATATATCTCATAATATATGTGTGTGTGTATGAGAAATTAAAAGGATCTTGCAAGATATATTTGCATATACCTTGCAATATCCTTGTATTTACTTTCACCATCACCTTAATACTAGCAAAGAGAAAGATTCTGCATGGACCAAGGATTACCCTTGGTTCTTTAGATTTTAATGGATGAGCCTTAAAAGATTTAAAGACACTCAGAATCCATGTAAAATTTGTGTGTAATATTTTGCACCTTTGTGATGAGTAGATCAACAACTTTTGCAAAGGTTAAGGACAACTAATCCAGATAGAAGAGAGTTACAACTGAGTTGTGATGGAATAGTGGGAGCATGCACCATGGTGAAGCATCTGGTTTTAGATCTCACCTTTCCCACAAGGCTGTGTAAATCCTCTTTAACTTTCTTAATATTTCTGATCTCAATTTTCTAATCTATAAAATAAAGATAATGAAAGGATATATTTCAGAGATGAACTTACCATAAAGTGAATAAAGCCTAAGTTCAGTGCCCTGGCAATGTGTTTATGTGATGGGGTATAATTGTGTAAAATTTGCAAAATTGTGTATTTTTAATAGAGATATTCCTCAAATTGTGTAACTTCATGGCCTACCAAAAATTGATCTTTCTCTTTTTCATGTTAGGGTTTATACTGAGTATTAAATTAGATAAATAAAAAAGATAAAGCTTTAGGATTATGCCTAGAACAGGGAAAACACTTGATTAATGTTCACTACCATTATTATTATCAACCACGATAGGCAGTTTGCTTGTGTTTATTTTTCCCATTGCTACATACGATTGAATATTTCACATCTTAAAGAGTATGGCTTAGGGGTGTTTAAGAAAGAGCTTAGTATATTAATAGAATTTTCCATTTAGCAAATTTGGAAAGAGAAATAGTATGAAATATATTAATTCAAATGTTAGACTTACTGATACAAATTTAAGAAGGGTAGCTTTTAGAATTTAATCAAGGCCATGTTTGCATTTTGGTGAAATATCTAAAATACTTATTCAGAAAAAACTGTGGTACTACACAGAGTAAACTTGCTTAAATGATGTGAGATGGCTGTTGCAAGAGAGGATGAGTAAATGATTGAATTCACCAGAATTATACTAATTATCGTATCTATAAGAAACATCTAAATATCCAGGGATTTAGCAATGTATACAAAAATGGCCATGCCATTTTCTAAGTCATAGTTTGGGGACATATGATAACTAATGTAAAATCAATCATATTCATATGATATCTATTTTACTATTCATAATCAAATGTCATCATACCTTTTAATCACACACCTAAAAGTTACAGACATAAGCTGTCTCTATAAATTATGATTAATCACACAAAGAATCACAATAAATAAATATGGACTTGTGATTAAGCTCTACCTTTTGAATTTTCTATTTTATTTAAACAAAGGAGATAAATACATGCTCTGGTTATGAATAAAATTCACCAGGAAAATATGACTTGTATTTCAAATAATAGGAGTTTGAATATTATCCTCACTGAATCATCAAGTCAATTTAGGAATTCATTTCATGCTTCAAGATGAAACAAATTTAAGATAAATACACTAGTGTTGGCTCTAACAACAGCTTAAATCCTGAAGCAATATTAATTTATACATATGTAGAATTGCATCTTGGATGACTTTTAATGTGAGATATATATTTTTCAATGTAATTTAAAGTCCTGCTCAGAGAAGAATGCTAGCTGTGTTTGTCTTGCCTTTTCTGAGTCAATCATGAAATCACCTCATGAATTAGCTGAGCAATAGTAAGAATGAGGAAATTGTTTCTGCTCTGCTCAATAGAGATAGAAAGGTAAGTTCTTTCCAGGTAGTGAGTTGAATCGCTCAAATCACAATGCCATTTCCTGCTTCATGCTGTGCCCATTTAGTAAAACTGAATTGGTCATCATGTTCTTAGCATTGCTTTTCAGAGATGTCATACGCACTGCAGAAGAGCTGGGAAAGTAGCTGGTTGATCTCTCTTGATAGGACTTCCTCCCACAGCAGAGCTGGCTATTGAAATGTCTCCTGAAGCTTTCACTGAGTAGATAAAGAGCAAATGGATTGACACAAGAATTGCAAAAGCTCAGAACACGGGCAACTAAGGTGACAATCATGTGGCCTAGAGATGGGTCAATCTCATTATAATTGAAAGACCTATACATGTAGAGAATGTGATTTGGAAACCAACAGAAGACAAAGCAGCCTACAAAGACCAGCACAATTTTAGCCAGGCGCTTCCGTGTCTCCATCTGCAAATACAAGGAAACAGTCCCATTGGTTAAAATGAAAATGGAACCATCTGCATGCAAAACATCATGGTGCAAAAAGAGTAAAAACTTACCATGGCATGCAAATGCATCCAAAAATACAAAAATTATTTTCCTCAACAAAGTGATAATTTCAACAATTTAACAAAGCCTGTTTTGGTCTTATACCCTTTCATCTAAAAATATTTGACAGCCTCTATGAGACTAGATGATAAATTATTAATAAATGGCTATGTCTTTTTTTTAAAATAATTTTTTTAAAGATTTTATTTATTTATTTATTTGAGACAGAGAGAATGAGAGACAGAGAGCATGAGAGGGAGGAGGGTCAGAGGGAGAAGCAGACTCCCTGCCAAGCAGGGAGCCTGATGCAGGACTCGATCCCGGGACTCCAGGATCATGACCTGAGCCGAAGGCAGTCGCTTAACCAACTGAGCCACCCAGGCGCCCGGCTACGTCTTCATTTAAAACCGTGACCTATAAAAATTCTCTCTTATTTTTAACTACTTTCCTGTTGCTTACAGTCTTACTGTGTACACTTCAAATATAAATCATTTGTTTGTATTAAATCCATTGAATTAATGAACCACACAATATACTTAAGATTAGATTTTTTTAATCAGGGTAATTGAAATAGAGCATGACTTTTTTTTTTATTTTTATTTTTTTAAAGATTTTATTTATTTATTTGACAGAGAGAGAGAGAGAGAGAGAAGGAACACAAGCAGGGGGAGTGGGAGAGGGAGAAGCAGGCCTCCCGCCGAACAGGGAGCCCGATGTGGGACTCGATCCCAGGACCCTGGGATCATGACCTGAGCCAAAGGCAGACGCTTAACGACTGAGCCACCCAGGTGCCCTAGAGCATGACTTTTTAAATCCTTATTCCACACACACACACAAAACACCTTGAGATTTAAACTTCTGACTCACATAAATCACAATCTTCTGATGTAACTATTATCCTTATAAGTATTACTATATTAGATTACCTTTAAAAATAAAAAGATATTTTCTTTCTTTTCAAAAACTTTACATACTGTGTTCACTGTTTTATAAGAAAGTCTTCAGGAATGTGATAGATAAAATTCAAATATTGGAAATAAATCTTTTTAATCTAAAAATCATTTTCTAACATCTAGAGTTCAAGGTTTAGCTCTTATATGTCTTACTTGCTCAAATATTTAAATAAGGCAACATGAATGTGAAAACTTAATTTATCAAAGGATATTGATAGTAGGCAAAATGATATTTTCTGAGCTAAAACTATTGATAGTGAATTAGAATATTCCAAAGAAAAGTGTAGTGAGTGGTGATGGGGGAAGCAAATAAAGGTGCAGTAAAGAGAAGGAAAGCAAAATGTGGTACCCCAGATGTATCCTGGTGGCATGAGTTAAGCAACCTGGCAATATTAAGGGGCTCAACGTGAAATTTATTATGAAGCAGTGTCCACCCTACAGGTGGAACATGGGTGCAAGGATTTTAGGGCCACCTATACTTGGAGACTCAAATGCACAGGCAGGCTGTTGGCATTGAGAGTACTTCTTACTGATATCAAGCCTAGTTACCCAGCCAGAGTTTATAAGTCCCAATAGAGAAATTCACAAAAACAAGGCAGAACTAAGGCCACTTTAAAAAATAAAAGTGGAGGTGGGAGGGTAAGAGGAACTCAATTTTAGAAACCAAAGCAAAAACTCAAATACCCAAATTGAGATACAAATTGGATCACAAGGCAAAGGAAAAAGTGCATTGAGCCCATGACCTGAATTTTTTTGTTGCAATGATGCTAGATATTTAGATAATAAATCTGTTAACTTATCTACAATTACTTTAGTGACTGATTGATTTTTTAGCTCTTAAAGAAGATGTGGATCTCTGATGTTGATGGTCATTAATAAGTAGAGGTTACTTTCCATGCAAGAACTCTTTCGAGATTCTGTTGTTGTTGAAGTGTGCAACACCCCAGCCTGTGCCTCCTTCTACAACCCAGCAAATTTTAATGATCTGTCATTCAACTTGCCTTTAAATTGGTGAAGAGCCAACCAAACCTCCTTGTACCTATAGAACCCTTTGGAAGAAGTTCCTCCCGAAGAGTCCACAAAAGCACAACTTGAAACTCTGTCCCACTAGACAGTATTTCCATCTATTTGTGGATTAACACAATTTGTTTTACCTTAAGTTAGTATCTCTGTATATTCCTTAAGGAAGAAAGACTATGTAAGGTGCATTTGTAATTTTAAATTAGTATATGATTTTTATAGGACAAGCTATAAAGTTGAGTTAAAGAAAGTATGACCTCTTAATCACTCTCACCCTTGTTCTCTGCCCTCTGTTCCCAGAGCCCCATTCTGGCATCCTACCCAAATGGCATCCCCAGTTCCCAGACCATGTCCTAGAGTCCTTTCCTGATGAATCCTTGTCCAAGACTTTCTGTCATCCTTAATGGGCTAATGGGAGAAGAGACAATAATTAAATAAATTTATACTTGAAATGTGATAATTTTCTGGTTTATTATGTCATTTTTTTGCATGAACATTTGAAGGTAAAGAAAAGCCTTCAAAGACTTTGAATTTTAATAGCTCTGGCCCAGATGGCAGAGAAGCTGGACTTCAGTGGATCTCTACAGAGCTATATATAACATGGCCACATATTGGAGATGCCTCCCCTCCTCCTCCCGGCACAACATCCCTTCTAGTTCAGGCTAATGCAAATCCCGGTGCCCTGGGACTCTGTTTAATCTTTCACGGCATTGAGAACCCACGAAATAGAACAGAAAATAGCAGTTACTGCCTCTGACCCACACACCCCGAACACACACACACACACCCCTACCAAGCTTACCTGTTTTTTAGCATGTTCATTGTATTCTCCAGGAAGATTATGTGCACTTTTAATTAAGGTCTTTGCAATATGATAATAATAAACGCTAATAATAGCAAGTGGTATGAGGAAATAGACCAAGAAGATGAGCACCGAATGAATCTTTGGGTGTAATTCGTCCGTCTGAGGGTAGGGTATGCACGCCGTGAAGGTGGCATTTTCCAAGCTATCAATGCTTGTCACTTCCGAAAACACGGCTTCTGGGACCGCCAGCAGCACGGAGATCACCCAGATCCCCACCGCCTTCACACAGGTCCACCCCACCGCCCTGGACGTTTGGATGTCCATGGGGTTGACAATGGCTCTGTACCTGGAAAGACAACACGCCTCACATTACTCTCTTAGAAGGAAAATGTAAAGGGAGGGAGAAAGAGAGAGGAAGGAAGGGAGGGAAGAAGGAGATCCTACTTGCTAATACTCCATTATTCCCTAGCTGTTTTGTAGTGTATGGAATATTTCATATCTCCGATGTCTGTCTGTCTACAAGTCATTCCACTGCTTACTAGCACAGCAGACGGGAAGAGAAAGGGAAAGATTTTAAACTGTCATTCCCCAAATTGCATTCATTTGCTTACCTCTTTCACAAGTCTTATTCTAAATCAGTAATACAAAAAGTATCATTTATTGAATATTTTTATTTAAATCATTACATTTTCAAAAAAGGCTCTCAATAATGAAATTGCTCTAATATACAATAACTCTAAAATATAAAATGTCTACAAAATAATGTTACTAAGTTCTGTCTTGATACCCTTCTTCAGCTTTTGAGCCTGAGTCTCCTACTTTTTTCCTGAGGACATTAGGAAAAAAGATTAATCGAGACTGGGATTTCTGAGGTAATTCAATCATAAGAACTGAAAGAACTGAAGATGAAATGACATTCTGTCTTTGCAGCTCAAATTTATTTCATGTTGAGACCTCATGAAATCCTCTCTTCCTATATAAAACCATCATAATGGTAAAAGGAACCACACTCCAGGACACAGGGCTTAAACAATCCAAACAGCTAACTCAATCACACACGTTAGGGTAATAATAATGCAAACAAACCAAAATTATATGTGAACACCAAATTTTTATATTTTTCTAAAAGTATTTCAGCTTACAATATACCTAGAAGGTTAACACGAGACAGTAAAAACTGATTTTAGTCAAACAAATCTGAACCATTGTCTCATCTCTGATATCCTTTGGAAAATCACTTAAGGTCTTCTTCATCTGTAAGGTGGGGATAAAAACATTTCTCTCAAAGTTTTTTGATTATAAAAAAATGGAGAGAACACCTATTACTGTGCCTGCCGATTAGCAGATATTAACCATACCATGACTCTGTACCTTCTCCATATTTACATTTGATTTAGTCTGGTGTTCTAAAAAATTCAGAATATTTCAAGCACCATAACAAGCAGGTAAGACATTCTGAGGTTCTATAAAGCTGTTTCCCATTGCACACAGGAGAGGAACAGCTCCCAGCCTGAGGGGAGCCTCGCTTTCTCCTTCCTGATTTGCATCAAGTGTCCTTCCCAGGACCTCAATAAGAAAAAGTCCATATTTTTATCTAGAGAGTCTTCCCATGTATAACAAGAAACATATAAATTTTAAAGTAGAACAACAGCAAAGGGCCTTGACACCAAAGTAAATAAAAAAGCATGCGTAATGCATTTATTTTACCCAGACTTTGCACATGGCAGAACACAGTATACATGTGTTCCTTCCCCATTCTGCTTAATTGCATGTTCTTAAGAAACTAAAAGAAGCATTACAATCGGTAACTAGAATGAACTGTTTTTTTCTGTTTCTTTTTTGTTTTGTTTTTGTTTTTGTTTTAATCAGAGAGCACTATGAGCCTATAAAGAACAATAGAAGCCCCTGATTTCATTTCAGGTCCTGCTCCTGGGTTGAACCAATTTCACGTCATTACCTCCATATGTCTAAGAAATGTCTCTTGAAGTAAATATTATCGACATTTGCTCTCGACTCCTGTTATTAAAGGTGAAGATTTTCTCTCTTATATCACCTCTATTCCCCCCATTACCAACTTCCTGATTTAGTACGCTATATTCAATGTTTATAAAATAGTCCCTATACTGTTATTATGAGTAAACAAGTATCTCCCACTGTAGGATTAAGTAATATGTTATGTTGTCTTTCTTAAACATGTCTCTGATTTATCTAGAGTTGCTACTTGATCATTGTTTTGTTTGCATAATTTTCCATGTTCCTGAATTTACTTTTTTAAAAAATGTTCTTCTACCACCTTGTTGAATAATTGGAATCCCAGTGCTTGAATCTCAATTCCTCTTTCTTAGTCTTTTACTTTATCAAGCTCATCTCCACCTTCTTTTTGGTTTTACTTTCTAAGATACTTTATTAGCTTTAGCTTCCATTCTTTCTTTTGATTTTTTAAATTTCTGCTATCATATTTTTAATTTCTAGAAGTTCTTTCTAGTTTTCAAGTCACTCTTTTACATAGCATCCTATTCTTATAAATACATGTTCTTATTACATATCTATGGAACTAATTCAGAAAATTTTGTTTACTTCTCTTTCTAGTATAGTTTCAATATGGCTAACAATAATAGTAGCACAGCTTCTCCAAAGTTTCAAGCAAAAATTTTTTTTCTCATATTAAAATCCAAGTATTGAATAACTGTTAGAAGAAAACCATTCCCTTCACAAAGTACAGTAACTATATTTTAGTACCAATATACATTATTTTCACTGTGAATCCATTTTTTTCTTTTTACATGTTAAGATGTCCCTCTTTGTTTTCTTTTAACATTAATTGCAAGCTGTTATTCTTGGAATTCATGGAAACATAATTAAAGCAGATATTGAACAAACAAAAAACAAACTAATACATTCAAAGAGTTTTATTTGTTTGGTTTCTTTATGCTAGAATTTCTCCTCAAAAGTTAGATATCTACTACCTGCCAACTCATATTTAAGATCAAAGTACAAAAAGCTAATGGTAAATTCTTTTGTACATGGAGGAGATGAGAAATGACCAGAGAAATTTTGGGGGTGATGATTACTAAAAATTGATCAAATAACTAGCTTTCCTTGTTAGATTTTAGAAAACTCAAAGAATATTCTGAACTTTCTTTTGTGGATTTAAAAAGAAGGAAAGCAGGGGCTCCTTGGTGGCTCAATCAGTTAAGCATCTGCCTTTGGCTCAGATCATGATCTCAGGGTCCTGGGGTCAGGTCATGATCTCAGGGTCCTGGAAACAAGCCTAGCATCAGGCTCCCTGCTCAGCGGGGAGTCTGCTTCTCCCTTTCCCTCTGCCTCTACCCCTGACTCATGCTCTCTCTCTCTCTCTCAAATAAATAAATAAAGTCTTCAAAAAAGGGGGGGGGAGGAAAACAAATGTCACTCCCCACCCCTTATTCCCACCGCATATCTAACCACATAAACATAAAGCATGTTAGGGAAACTGCGAAGAGGAATGAAGGTTATAACTCTTTCATTCTGACAAGATTGCCATAGTAGAGCTAGCAACAGATCTAGAATTCTTGTTTTAGGAGAAGCAAGAAACCTAGTAGGAATGTAAGATATGGGTACAGAAGGCCTTTCCAACAGGGACGATTCCTGGTCATGTCTTGTAAGGAAGGGAAATAGACTTTGGATCTTTCCCTAAATGACATACATGTAATGGAAAGGGGAGTACTGACAATTCTATAAAGCCAGAAATCACAGTTTACATCAATAGATTACTTAAGTGTCATTATTAGTACTTAAACATCACATGATTGCCAGAGAATAAGTTTTACATTGATGTTTCATGTGCATCTTTGAAAGGATAAAAAGTCAAGCAATACAGTGCAAATTAGTATGGACATGTTTAATCATCTTTCCTTCAAATATTTATAAAAATGTAGGAATGAAACAGTCCCTCAGTATGTAAACTATCTCATTAAATTTAGTAGCATAACAGATATGTGTGAAAAGTTATGTTTTTTTCATTCAGATAGTCTCAGAAAGGTATCCCTAATGGAAAACTAGAAAATAATCAATCAAAAGGGATTAAAGAAAACATAATTACCATTTATGTATTAAATATTAATAAATAGTATGCTTCTTCATTAATTTCTGTTTTGAATCTTGCCTTATCATATCTGTGTATAGTCTAAATTTAATGTAAAGGGATAATGGAATATAATCATATTACAAAATATATAATGAAAATTAGATCATTTTAGCTTATATAAAGTCATCTCAATATCTCAAAATCTCCAACTACACATTTCTATAAACCTACTAGCTACATTACCTATAGTTTCTTTCTTTTTCTCATCATAGTTTCATTTATCAGAGGACAACAAAGAATTTAAATGTGAACAATCTGACAAAGGAGAGAAAGGTATTGTGGAAGCAAGAGAAAGAGAAAATTTCAAAAAGATGTATAGACCCTTTGTGTCAAATACTCTGTAAAAACAAAAACAGAAACCTCCTTTTGCTTACTGTTGTATCTAAAGTGCATAACAATGCCTGACCCATAGTCATTTCTCAGTGAACATTTGTTGAACTAATAAGGAAATGTGGCCTGAGCAGCAAGGAGATCACTTATTAAAAGCAGTTTTGGTAGAGTGGGGTGGTCATTGGATAGTAGGTTAAGGGGAGAATGGACGTTAGAGATGGAGACACAGTCTAGTCCAGTGATGCCCAAGCTTTATCAATATTCAGAATCACCTGGAACTGAAAACAGATAAAGTATTAGATTTTTCCCCAGACTTACTGGCACAGAGTCTCTAGGAGGTAAAAATATGAGGTTCTGCATTTTACTAAGATTTTCAAATGATTCTGAATATAAACCAGGTTTAGAAACCACCTTTCAAGAAGATTGACTGTGGCAGTGTGCATCTTTCCACAAGACCCCTGTGAACTTGTCTGGTGCAAAGGACACACATTCATCAGCGGAGAGTATCTGGAATCCAGCGAAAGTTCAGTGTTAAGAATTAGATGCCTGCCCTTTACAATATGTCACATCATGTTTTGTTTTGTTTTGTTTTTAAGATTTGTTTATTTATTTGAGAGAGAGAGAGTGCACACAAGCAGGGGGAAGGGCAGAGGGAAAGGGAGAGAGAGAATACTCAAGCAGACTCCCTGCTGAGCATGGAGCCTGATGCAGGACTCCGTCCCACAACCCTGAGATCATGACCTCAGCCAAAATCAAGAGTCAGCCACTTAACCAACTGAACCACCCAGGTGCCCCACATCATGTTTTATTATTTTAATTCAATTAGCCAACTTATAGTACATCATTAGTTTTTGATATAATGTTCAATGATTTTTTTATCTTTTTTTTTT